TTCTCATACATTACTGCACAACACTCGTATCTAGTGCTGTGAGAATAAGGTACTAGGGTCTATAAATAAGACTGTTTTGCGCACGATCTGACCAGAGCTCAGACATATGTCGCTATACCCTTTATTTTTGGCACGAACAATGACGTCACTGTTCACAGTTTTCCTTCTCATTTTGAGATGGAAGTAGCTATAGGGCTCAATCCAACGCAAGATTAACAGAAACATCGTACTCTATCTACTTTTGAATGTTCAGTTTGTAAACATTTGTATTTAAAAAGATATAATCTTTTTTCTTTATATTTTCTAGTTGTTAGAAGTGGCAATTGTGAACATCTGAAATGTTGATCTCTATCAAAAGTTCTTTACTCAAAACGGATCCCATATTTTTAGGATCTACCTTCTGCCAATGAGAAGGTTTTTAGTGAGCAAACCTCTACGTCCTCTAGGATTTTCTTAGGCGGTTGTGCGCGCCCATCATGGTCTTCTGCTGCATCAATTATTGGATTAAAATACGTCAAAATCTGCAAGATCGTCAACAAATGGTGAAAGACTGTTACAGATTCGTGATTATAGTGTATGTTGTGAAATGTATAATTTTCTTTTCTTGGGCAGGTCCAAGCTATTTGCTTTGTGACGTACGGGACATTCAGAGACTTTAAACAAGAAATAACAATGGATGACATTATTTATATGGCTATCTTTTGGTATGAGTCTGTGGCTATTATGGGCTAGTTCATTTGTGGAAAGTTTTAGTTCTGACCAATTCATAAATTAATTTTTAATGTAATTAATGTGCTGCGTGACGTACGGGACCAGAGAATTTCTGACTTTTTCAAAAATAAGTTCATCATAAAAGTTCTCTGAATTTATTAAGTTATGAGATTTATGGTAATGATATCTTAATTCATTATGGAATCAAGCATTAATCACAACTATTACCATATTTTTCTGACCTTTCGTTGTTATGTAATATACCAAAACATAAATGTGTGTATGTGACGTACGGGACACGTGACGTACGGGACAACTTTTCCCTATGGGAAAATGCATTGAAATGAAGAATTTTCGTCAAAATTTGTTAAATGTGAACAATTTTAACTTAAATCAGTGACAATTAGAGTGTTTTAGAACCCAATTAGATCCTCTGACCATCACTTAATATCATCTGTGTTAATTTATGGGGTAAATCAATACAAACATTACTTTAACAAAGAAAACAAATTGAATTAATATATTCATACACACTATATTACCATTTTAATTCCATTTACCCATCTATCATGTGCAGTCATGCTTCTTTTCTCATTTCTTTTATCCATTCCATTCAACATTGCAAAATGTTTTTAAATAATAATTAATGAAGAAGATGAACTTGAACTTGAAAACTTTTATTTAAACTTGTTTGAAACACAGGGGCACACTCAGCACATCATATTTTGTCAAAGAACATTTCTTATGCTCTAAGTGTTTGTGAACAAAGATACATTAAAAATATGAAGTCTTTTCTTCATAGCTTGTTTGAATTACTTGATAGTAATATCATAGAATTTTGAAGGAATTCAAAGATAATGCTGAACATATTGTCTTTTTTAAATCCTTTTATCACAGATTAAAACATGTACAGTGTATATGTTGCTGTCATATATATTCAAGAATTTTGATGTACATTAATGTAGCCTACATGTTTGTGAAAGATGGATATAAAAATATAAATCTTGAATGTATTTTGTATTGGTTAAAGACATCTTATTAACACCACCAGATATAAGAAATTAAAACCCTAAAGGTTTGTTTGACCTTTTCCACAATTCAAAATTAAAGCAAAATCAACAAAAATGCATGGGTGTAAAAGTGATAAAAATCTTAAGTGGGTGAGAGTGTGAAATACTCAAAAAGGCTATCCTTCCTTAACAGTTATGATTTAGTTTTTAGGAGATCAAAATTCCCAAGCTGGCTCCATGTATGCTGTAATCCTTTACCATCATACATGTATATGACATTTAAATAGAATATCAAAAAGACCTCACATGGAGAGCTTGATAGCATACATGTGCTAAGATTCTTACCTGCAGCATCTTTGAGTTGTAAAAGCCAGCTTCTGGTGCATCTACTACCATATAATTTCATTAGACTCATTCCAGGAACTAGTACACTATTATGATTTACATATTTAGCATCCTGCCCATGTTGGGGACATCAACTGGCAAAATACCAAAGTTGATAATACCAGGGGTCTGGCTTGAAGACTAATTACATCAAATTCAGGACAAACAAGTAAATTCCTAGAAGGGACCCAGTTGGAATGTTCATCCCTGTATACAACAAGTTTCCTAACACAGTATATATTCTCCTTTTGGTCATTTCCTTTTTCACATCTTGCATTGGTTTTATATGGGGTTGTCCCGTACGTCACACACTTGTCTCGTACGTCACATTTCTTAATTTGATTATGTAATCAACACAGAATTTTTGTAATTTTTGTTAAACCTATTTTTTGTTAGGTATTCATCTAAATTAGAACTTCCTAGAATATCTTTAAAATAAAAAATTATTTTCATAATTAAAATTAAACAAATTATGATCAAATTGTGACATACGGGACATCACACTTTGGAACCTACCTCATTTGCATAATTAATTAATTTTGAAAGTTTGTAAATTTTTTCCTATTTTTTAGCATGATGGTCTACAATTCCTGAGATATTTAATTTTAAACAAAAAATTCAAACGAGATACAAAAATAAAAATGTAATGTCCCGTACGTCACGCTAATTAATACAAATCAAAGTTCGTGACCTTGGTACTCTTCGTATTTTGAGAATTTTTTTAATTTTTTATCAGATTCATAAAATTCATAGTTTCAGCTTTAAAATGAGGTATAGTTTGTTAAATTTATATAAAGATGAAATTTGACCCACAGAGGGGACAATAGCTTGGACCTGCCCTCTTATTTTCATCAATTTTTATTTTTACATCATTTTTTTCTCTCTGCTAATTTTTTGAAGTGGGCGACGAGCGCACAAATCGTAGGTGTAGAAGCCTTACGCCCGGGCATTGGCCTCCCTAACATGAATAAATGCAGCGAATGAAATAAGTTTTCTACAATTATTACAAATAGAAATGACGTCCAAAATCCAGTGGCAATGGAAATGATGACTGGCGCTGTCGAAGAACAACGAAAAGGGCTCACGCGATGATGTGGAGGCTTTAAGGCAGAAACACAAATTCATTCTCTGGCTGAAGAGTCGTAAAGAATGCGATGTCTGCGCTGACACTCATGAAGTTGATGATGCTCGAAATGTGGACGAAAAGAGAAGTGAAGTCTGAAGGAGTGCTGCGCTTGGCACTCGAGGAGGAAGCAGTGAATCCCTGATGCATCACAAGCATTGGTCTTGTTTTTCCATCTCTAGTCTCTATAGAATTTACACACAAATATGTTCGTGCACACAAACAATTTTTGACAAAGATGATAGTCATACATGTAGATTTAAAAAAATGAAATTAAGTCTTGTGAATACAAATACTTTAATTAGATTTTTCTCAATTTGTACTCAGGTTTTCATGAATAGTCCATACATGAACATTAAGCTCCTATCGTGGCAATGAAAATGCAAAATTGTATTTATTGAGCAGTTGTCCAGTCAGACAAATACATGTAGTCTTCAAAAAGAAAATCAAACACTCTACCTTCAAGGTTTCACAAATATTCTAAAAATATTTCAAAGACTTTAAAGGTATGAGTGAGTGTTAATTAAATTACGAAGACAACAAATTTTGTTAATAATAATCATAGTAATAATATGTTTGCTTTATTATATAGAACTCTCACACAATTGGTTTCACTGCACTCAATACAAGGTATGAAGACCTTGGGAAAATCAGTTAAATACATAATAAATCTTCAAGTGTCTAGAGTGGTTGCTATACGGATGATCCGGGGCAGTTGATTCCAGGGGGGGGGGGGGGATCAAGGTAGACATTAGACAACCTCCCACTATACTGTCTGCTTGATTAATATGTTGTGTTTTATGTTGTTCTTGTTAGGCTGACCAATCTAAAAAAGATTATTTCTGCCTGGCTGTACTGTTTTTTTTTAGTTGTTCGTCATTGATGATTGGATAGCGCTGTTTTTTTTCCTCTTCAGTGGGTATCATCATGTACTGTGCAGCTTCGGATTATTTGATGTGCGGGAAATAATTTAGGTGTCGACCATGAACATGACCATGTGATTATGCCATGTTATTCAACACCTACGTGGATCCTTGTCATTTGATTGGAGGATTGTTGGTCACATAATATTCAAAATATGTTATATTGCACGACCGTGCATTTTGGGTTATATGCGCCGTGCATTTTTGGTTACATGCAGACTGCGTACCTCTCTGCCATGCGCGTATCCCTGTGTGTATCTGAAGCGAAGGCAATCTGAATGTAATCGAGAAGGCTTGACTCCAACTTTAATTTATCTTTCATATAAGGAGTGAAGCATAATTTATTGACTAACGTTCTATTAGATCTTCTTTGATGTTGTATAAAACAAATACTGAATGTTTTTCATTCGTTCAATAGTGCGAATATTTTCATTTGTTGAGATTAACATTAATTCTATTCAACTCGGCTGATGCCTCGTTGAATAGAATGTTAATCTTTCAACTCATGAAAATATTCGCACTATTGAACTCATAACCATTCATTATTTGTATATTATATTATCTGTTTGTTTGATTGTTGTTGTTGTTTATTTTTGAATTTATTTCTCTTGAAGTGTGGTAATATAAGGAATCAGCCTTGACAGGCCAATGGCCTTTGTTCATCCCTCACATCCACCACCCTTCATCCTTCTTTCATAGTGCCATGTCAATGATTGTTTTTATATTTATATTGTTCAATTTATACTGATTTGTTTGTATATCTTCCGACGTGTTTTTAAAGAGATGTGAAATAAATTAAAATTGAATATTATTATTATTTTTGATATTATATCCTGTTATTTTATACAGTTGTGAAATCTCAAGAAACTGCAATCCAGAGCCATCACATAATGAACCACTCAGTGAGTATAATTTATCATTATTATATTCTTTTTCTTTTTGAAGTAGAAGTGAAGAAACTGGGCATACCCACAATAACAAGAACAATTTGTGGAATAATGTGGGCCTCATCGTTGCGCCATGTGTTATTTGATAGTACTCTCTGTCTTTCTCTGTGTAAAGCAAAAATCAGGCACATGCAGGCCTGATAAAAACCCAATTTAAATCAGTTTCCTGATTATTAATATATATAGATTTTTTTTTTGTTTACCTGATTTTTTTTTTATTACAATTTTATCCTGATTTTCCTGATTTTTCCCTTATTTTCTCTATTCTTCCCTATTTTGCTCACTCAAAAAGGGGGAATGTTGTTAGATGCCCTCCCCCCCCCCCTCCCCCAAATCCTCTTGTTTTTGTTTTACTCAAGTGCTCACTATCACCCCTGCACATGACTTCACTCTCGTCTTCCTGTTCAACAGGAAGCTGAATGCAACATTTAAGGCAGTTCATTTCCACACAGTCTGATCACTCTGATGGTATCTTGGAAAAATGTTATTTTAAAGCCAGCAGTTCTTGCATTCTGAACAACAAACTTGTGGGAATTAATGTCAGAAATTATTAGCCGCGGAGGGGATTTATAATCTCTCTCTCTCTCTCTTTTTCTCCCTTACTAAGTTCGATTCAGTAATCCATCACTTAAATGCTGTCTCTCTTCCTATTCCTATCTCTCTTTCTTTCTCACAGCAGGCTTGAGACAGGATGTCTTACACACTATGCAGCAGGTCTTAGAGAGAACTAGAAGGAGAGAGGTCCCCCCCCCCCCCTCTCTCACTCTCTACTTCTCCTTCTATCTCTGTCCCCCTTCTTTTAATTGGTACTGTAATAATTCACAGGTTGTTGCTCGATCGTCCCTCCCTTACTGTGTTGGATTCTGTAATAAGTCATATATTGTCTCTCTCCCTATCTCTCTCTCTTTCTCTCTCTCTTCCTCTCTCCTCTCTCTCTCTCTCCCTCTCTCCCTTTCTCTCTTTCTCTCTTTCTCTCTCTCTTTCTCTCTGCCTCTCTCCCCTCTCTCTGTCTCTGTGTTTGATTAAGTAATCACTGGTGTATTGTCTCTTTCTCTCTCTCACACACAGCATGCTGAAGACTGGATGTCCTGCACACTGTGCAGAGCGAACCACCAAGGACAACAGGTCTTAGAGAGAGCGAGAAGGAGAGAGGTCACTTGGCCCGAACCTAGAGAACAGGGGACCCCTCCTATTCAGGTCAGTGATAAAGAATGGTGATTAATTTATTTATAGTATAAATAAATTGACTGCTATGAGAGGCATCCCCGTTTCTATAGGCTCAAGGGGACATTACATCCTGATATAACCCATGTAAACTACTATCTCAGCAAGCAATTTTTATTAATGCGTAAAGACTGATTAAAACATCATGGAAAATCTGAGACACTGTCTGTTAATCGTTGCTGGAAAGTTGCCTGAATGTTACGACCATTTGGGAATCGCAGACAAAAAGCACTGCATGGCATCTGCGCTCGCACAAAGACAATTTTAACATGTAAACCAATGGAGGTTGCAGCATAAGGGCACTTTTTAAAGACTATTGACCGGTAGGTGGGTATAAGGGCATTTTTCAAAAGACTATTGACTAGTAAGCGGGTATGAGGGCATGGCTAAAATCACGACTCCAATTTCGACTAATCAGATGGCTAGATTTCTAAAGTGAGGTATATATATATATATATATTTTTTTTTTAAATCTCCTTTTCCATTATTGCAATTTGTCCAGGATACTCTGACTTACACCACTATAAATGAAGCCTTTGGGAGCATCCTGCAGTACATGACTACAAGCAGCAGACAATGTAGGGTAAGTTTCGTACTTTTAGATAGGAATCCATGGCCCTTCTTACAATATAGGCCTGTCTTTACTATCTCGAGATTGCCAAATATCCGGCTATTTGAACTATCCCGATCACAAACTATCCAGCTAATTTGCGTCCTCATCAGACCGAAGTAGCAATTAGCGGGATATTTGGTCGGGATTGTCATCCTAAGATGTCTTGGGATAGTTTGCCAAATATCCCACTATTTGGCAAAATATCCAGCTATTTGTCCCGTGCATCTTCACCAGACCGAAGACTCGCACTATGCGCTAAGGCTGAGCAAAATATCTTGAGCTAATTTCTCAAGGTCGAGTTTCAAGTTTCGAGGTCGAATCTCGAGCTGATGAAGACAGGATTTGTAACTTTGGGATTATTTCTCAAATCAGAAATAGCGGGCTATTTGGCAATCTCAAGATGATGAAGACGCACCTTTTGTTACACTTTGGTTTATTTTGTTTTACCAGACTGCTAGGATAGCAAGTGTACGCTTGTAAGTAAGTAACCAAGGGACCGACGGCTTTAAAGTCCTCCCTGAGGGACTTGGTAATGAGAATTAATGCCTTACCAAAGGGCACTAGCCCATGGAATTTGTTCAGAACCTGGGACCTCCAGGTGACGAGACTGCTGCTCTACTCTTGAGCTATTGCACCTCACTCTCTCATGGTCCCATAGAAAAAAATAAAATGTCTGTCCCTTTTTTAACTTTTTGTACGCCACATAAATGATCTCCCTGTGCCATATTGTATTTATGAAGGGATAGCTATACCAAAGGCTTCCTATGTTATTGAACTGTTTCTGGTGTAAGATTCATCTACATGTATATGTGTTAAATTGGATGTCCAGGAGCTAATCAAGACAGAAAAATTGATAATTTTGCAATTCCGTTGTGTTGCACAAAAATATCCTTCTGTCAATTGGTGCTTATAGTTTTGGGCAAAATGGCATGTGTGGCACGCAACTGACCGTGCAAAGAGTCTAAGAAAGCGACTGAAGTGTTAAATTGGGTGAAAAGTATGTTTACAGTATGTGTGATTGTAAATCGTGAAGCCTTGTACAGACATGAAAATACTATCCACATTAAAGGTGCCTGTCAGACAGATGCAGTGTGTATTTAAAGCCCCTCTTTCACATTATGATACAATTTAATTGAAATTTTGCCATCAAGTTTTAGGGGCTCCCAACACTTTAGAGGGGCTTAAAAAAATATATAATTTGTGAACAAAAGCATCACCGAACTTCTTACAAAATGTGCTGAAACAGCAGACTCTCACAGCCTTAATGGGCCAATCAAGTGGTTCACTGCATCACAGAATGACTAAATCACAAAACAGGCAATACAAATGAACTAATACCATTGTGAAAGATTTCTTTCACGTTTTTATACATCCTCATGTATTACCTCTGTAACATCCTTCTTGTGTCATTCCTTTTGACAGAGATACTACTCCAGCATTCCAGCGTCTACCCATAATGCACTGGACAAGCGGCATTGTGGGAGATTCCATGCTCCGAGATACAGAGAGCCCCGGAAGACGACACACCCAGTAAGTGGACCTTCCCATTCAGTAATGGATTACAATATCATCATGAGTTTGTTTGGAATGAAATCAATAGGGTGGATTCACTATAAACAGTGCCCCTAATGCCATGCCATGAGAGGTAAATTTTACTGTTTGAGATTGACATATTTAAACCGGTGCAGCGCCCCACAGAGCACATAGCCCCAGGAGATGATACACCCTGTAAGTGGACCTTCCCATTCCTAACGTAATGGCTTACAATATCATCATGAGTTTGTTTGGAATGAAATCAATAGGGTGGATTCACTATAAACAGTGCCCCCACTGGCATGCCATGAGAGGTAAATTTTACAGTTTGAGATTGACATATTTAAACCGGTGCAGCGCCCCACAGAGCACATAGCCCCAGAAGATGATACACCCTGTAAGTGGACCTTCCCATTCCTAACGTAATGGCTTACAATATCATCATGAGTTTGTTCGGAATGAAATCAATAGGGTGGATTCACTATAAACAGTGCCCTTACTGACATGCCATGAGAGGTAAATTTGACGGCTTGAGATTGACATATTTAAACCAGTGGAGCGTAGCAAAACGCAATCCACCAATCGAATTGACGAAAGTGATCTGAACTGCGTCAATTCATTCCATGGGATTGACTTGTCCTGATATCAGTGTACATTTCTGTATTGAATTTGGATGTGAAAATTCCATCCATTAATTGGTTCTGACTCGAATTTGGCCTGATTTTGGTTAAAATTAATACACATGGGCATTTCGGGCCAAAAAGTTACCAAAATTCTTTCAAAATTCTTGTCGAGGGCGGTCATCTTGACTATATTTTCAAGCATCAGGACAAATTCTCACAAAGAAAAAGCCCATTAAAAAATTTCCTTTGCTGACAATTATGATTGGAAACATTTCCCCTGACCAAAGATGGCTGTAATCGGTTGAACGAAAAAGTGACTAAAGTGACAGAAATGTAGGTTCAGTAAGAATTTTTTAAGCATTCAAAATGAACAAGTTATTTTTCTCTTTTTCTTTTTTTCCATTTTTTTCCAGCTGCAGAAAACAGAAGATGTTCACATCCAAGTCCAGCCTGGGACCTACGCCGTGACGGCCGGAGGCTGGGGCAGGGGCAAAGGTCAACAGACGCACGTCGTCCATGTCAACCAAGGTCAAAGTGTCAACCTTGATTTTACCATGTGACGTCAGCTTTTGAGGAATCCACCAACAGCAGCTGATTGTATAGACTTTTTTTAGAAACTGATTGCGCTGGTGGTTTTATAGACTGATTATATGAGAGCCAGAATAATAATAATAATAATAATATAATAATAATATTCCATGTTTATCAAGCGCTCAATACATCGATCCAACGATGTGCCTAAGCGACATATATATATATTATTACCCCGGTCATCGGATTCAGGCTTACCCGCACACAATGTATGCACATTTTCCACTCCCTGGGGAGCATTCCAGCCAGTTGCCATTTTACAAACGCACACTTGCTCGTCCAACCATATGAACTTTTGCATCCTACTGGGAGCCAGAAGAAAGCTTGTCTTATCGTCTTCCCCTGTCCCTGTATCTATCTGCGCATGTGATTAACCTAGCTGTGCAGTGTAAGAGGAAGGCTGCCATCTACTGTCGAACATCGTATTTGTGGTAGGGATAATCCTCTATGGAATTGAATTTCAATATGTGTGATACACACCTCTGGCATATAGTGGCGAAAATTAAGTATTGATGTTAATTTTGTAAAAGCTGTTTAAATCATGAATGAAATTCAGCAGTAATGTTTGTTTCACAAATAAGATTAGTAACCCTTATTCCTTCTGTTGTAATCCTATTTTTGCACAAAAGTAATGGTTTCCGACCCCTTAGTTGCAAAAATGTCTGATTTAAGAACAAAGTAGAGAACTTTTATTTGCAATCTTGTTTTCAATTAATCTTTTATCCACGTTTTTATAATCACCTCTATTAAAGTTTCTAGGCAGGAACTTGTTGTACCCTTTGTCAAAATTGAGTGAGTTGGTTCACTTTTGAATATATGTTATTTTAAGGCTACAAATGGCTCTCCATACTTTTTAAGTCAAACTTAGAGTTAAGTTCAACTTAGGATCTTTGTGAAACACCCCCCTGGTCATGCAATATTGTTGAGAAAAGAAACTGGAAGCATTCGGGAAACGCTGACTGTAAGCTTTAGGAATCATGCAAATTATCAGAATTTGACCCAATTGTGCTGAGAGTCCCATGTGCTCATGTACACAAACTTGTAGCCTGAAAGTTCAGTCCAAACATGTCAATTTTTTTCCTGTTATATAGAGTCCGAAGCTGTGACATACAAATCTATCTTTTAGAATTTTTCAATGTTTGTCTTCATTTTCCGAAAGAGCATAAAAAATAATGTCCGAATGTTGAAAACCAATTGAAAATGTTAAGTATTGGCTGAGATATGACCATCTAAATAAATATATCGTCCTTGTTTTCACGAAGTGACGGTAGTGAGGAAAATCGTCACGCAAAGTGAATGCAATTTTTTTTTCACTACCGTCACTTCGTGAAAACAGCGACGATATGTCATATGGGAACTCAGTGTTATAGTGCTCTGGTTCCTAATGTTATGAATATGACTGCAGTTGAAGAGTCATCCTCTGCAGTGTTTCTGTTTTCTGTGAAATTCTTCCATCTTCAAATGAAAGGAATGGAAAAGCTTACACCATTTTCAATTTCCCACCTTTCCTAGAACTCACCCTTCTCTTGAATATATATTGGGTAACCTTGTTTGGGATTATTTCCCCTCGGTATTCTGTTTCTTAAAGGTAAAGACCAGTATTGGAAACGCCCCCCTCTCAAAAAAATGAAATGGAAGCTCTTATTACCAATCATGTGAAAGAATATGTTTTGATCCGAATTTTGCTGAGAAACCACCTACTTTGATATATTTGGTAAATTATTATATCTATTTGGACCTGATATATATACATGTAACGCATGTGTCGCACACGTGTGCGTAGTCCCATATACATCTTTCTGTGTACAGTGCTTGTAACTTTACCAAGACTGGGCCAAATTTCTTATCATTTTGATGATTCCAGAACCTTGCAGTACACACCAACACTTATATGCTACATGATCAACCTTTTTTTACAATGCGATCGCATGACCATAACTGGTCTTTATCTTTAAGCCCTCCCTCCCCCCCCCCCAATGCTTGCTTTAAGTGACAATGCACTCATGAGACACCATGCATGTGGGCATTGTAATTCAAGTGTAATGCAAGCATAACAATTTCAACAGAGATGGTGACATTTTCATGTTTTTCTTGAAAACAACAAGCCAAATAATAATAATATAGATCATTTAGGAGCGCTGAAAACAAAAAGTACTATATATACAAAAAGGACTTTTAAAGATAGTTGAATCGTAAGAAGTATGTTTTAAGGCCCCACTGTCCTACTTGTAGCTACTTGCTCCCTCTATATAGAAAACTTCCCAAATCGGTGCCTGTTGGTCCCCCATGATCCTCTCTTTCTTATGTTAGTTGAGAGCTGAGTTGATGAGATGGCCACCTGTCAGTGACCTGGCTGGATGGTCTAATCCCCTCTGGCCCAGTAGTATTGACAGTCTTTAAGGGGTCTTTATTGATAGAGGCAAGACAGCTCAATTCACCGAAGGACAGTTAGATATTGTTCCATGAAGTTCAAGAACATGCTTTATACAAGCATAAGACTAACTTTTGTACAAAAAAAAGGTAGATTTTAAAATGTGTATTAATTTTTAAAAATATATGCCTGTTTCTGTCTCGTTTGTTTATTTATTCATTCATTAATTGATTGATTTGTTTATTTGAATGAGATAGTGTAAATTTATATAATTGATACAATTGAATCAGTTTATACGAAGGCAAATGTGATTTTTTTTTTTTTTTTTTTTTAAACTCTGTTTTAGTTGAGGTTGTCACTGAATGTGTTTTGAAGTTGATGCACCTACTAGTAGGTTAGGAGTGTTGAAATGTCAGTGAAAGTGAAAAGGAAAAGAGAGAGAGGGGGAGGGCAGAGAAAGAGAGAGAGGAGGGCAGAGAGAGATAAAGAGAGCAAGATTTAGACGGAGAGGGGAGGAGAGAGAGAGAGAGGAAGAATGATAGATGGGGAGGGGGGGGGGGGGGGGTCTGGAGCTGAGGGGAATATATTATGGAGGCATTGGAGGAGTGGGAATAATAAACCGAAATATATTTTTGTTTTACGTTCATAGAGTTTAACAGAAAGAAACAATAGAGGCAAAGAGGTCGAATAAAAGATAAACGAAGAGAAAGGGGGCAATGTAAACAGAGAGAAGATCGAGTATGTTTCAAAAGATAAATACAAGAAGGCGAATTATTGAAATGGAGAATGAGAGAGATGCATGTAGAAAAACGGGAGAGGTGAGAGTGGGGCTTTCATATCAGAAAAACATTAGCATGATAAAGAGAGCAAAGAGTTGTTTTGCCTCAAAAATCCTTAAAGTTACTATTACAGTCTAGTGTTGCCACGATTAGATTAGATTACTGCTCTGTTGTATGGTCGAACAGATTTCATTCTCATACAACTAAGCTTCAAAAAATTCAAAAGAGGGCCGCAAGAATAATATTGAACAAGACATTATGACACACCGTCGGCTGGTTTGTTCACAAGTCTTAAATGGATGACACTAGACAAGCGGTTTGAGTTAAGTCGCGTTATGATGATATATAAATGCGTTCATAACTTAGCACCTTCTTACCTTCAGGTAGGCTTAATCAATCCTAATGATGTACATGAGCATCATACGAGGCAAATAGACAGTAGAGGTTTACGTGTGCCTAGATTTCACACTGATTGTTATAAGTGTAGCCCAATTGTTTCTTCTATATTTGAATGGAATACAGTGTAAGCTAGATAATTCGTTGAGAACGGCTTCCTCTGTAAATTCATTTGATAAGAGATTGTTTAAACAAAGTTGTAATTTGTGAATGGCATGTGCATGTTCTGTAATATTTACATGACTTATTCACATAATTGCGACTTAATTAATATTTTCCTATTGACATTACTGTTTACTAGGTTAATGATATATGTTTATTTTGCAAACGAGTGTTATTTGTGTAACTGTTCTGTATAAATGTTATAAACGATGTAAATGTGTTCATTCAGGGCCCCATGGAAGACCACTACTTGTTGGTGAATGGGCTACCCTGTCAAAAGATTAGAAATAAATAAATAAATAAATAAAATACCTCATTCTCTTTTTCTTTCTTTCTTCTTTCCTCTTCTCATGCTATCTCTCTCTCTCTCTCTCTCTACCCCCTCCCCTATCTCTTTCTTACAGACGGACAGACACACAACCTAGTTATTTATTGATTATCTTCCGCTCATCCCCCTTTTTCATCTCTCTCTCTCTCTCTCTCTCTCTTTCTCACACAGACGGATAGACACACTCCCTAGTTATAATCTTACTCTCTTATCCTTTAAAAAAAAATCTCTCTCTAGTTCTCTCTCTCTCTCTCTCTCTCTCTCTCTCTATTCCCCTCTCACTTTCTCACACAGACGGAGCTCATCCCCCTTTTTCATCTCTCTCTCTCTCTCTCTCTCTCTCTCTACCCCCCTCTCTCTATCTCACACAGATGGACAGTAGACACACACCCTAGTTATTTATGTTTTATCTTCCGCTCCCCCCATTTTCCCCATCTCTCTCTCTCTCTCTCTCTTTCTCTCTCTCTCTCTCTGTCTCTCCCTCCCACTCTCTCTCTCTCTCTCTCTCTTTCTCTCTCTCTCTCTTTCTCTCTCTATTTCAATGTTGATATAACCCCTCACTCTCATACACCCTCGCTCTCCTTCTCTCACATACACTCATACGCTCACACTCACACGCACCCACACAACAACAAGACAAACAAAAAACCAACGCAAACAAGCAAAACAACATAATATAACAATTTAAAGAAGATTAAGATGTACCCCGACTTCAATAATTTGTCTAGGCGAACATATGGCTTTTGGCTTTGGGATATTGAAGTTTTCCATTTGTCGAGTTCAAAAATCCCATAAATTTATGTTTTTGTCTTAAGCGCCTTCTACCTTGGGATATTACTCAAACAATAGGGACTTTTAGATTTGCACGTCGACAGCTTTGACTGCAACGTGTGACGTCATTTTAAGGCACTTCGCATGCGTTACGTCGTCTCAGTCGGTGATCGAGAATGCGTCAACCTTGATTCTCCTAAATCTAGTACATACATAAATACAATATTGATATTTATATAGCGCCTTTACATGCTCAAGGTACTAGTATGCCGCGTGCGCATAACATATACAGTTCCTCAGGTAGACAAAGGAACATCCCTTCCCTGCTATTATGTAAAAATGTGTGGAACAGGTGTCACATGCATATTCACCTGTTCTACACATTTTTACATAATAGCAGTAAAGGGATGTTCTTTTGTTGAGGGTAGAATGAGGAACTGTATATTTTGTCTTCTTTCTTTGTCCGTGATGTTCAGAGTGTTACTTCCTGCATGTATGTATATCGTCGAGTGCAATCTAAAAGATTTCTAATTGTAGTCAACATGGGCAATTAAGTACGTTGACACGCATGATCAGTCGGCGTTCGTCGTGTTCTCGTCCACTCAATCTAAAAGTCCCTAATATGTTGGCTTGCATACTACGAATGTCCTCTAAACAGAAAAGACGCTCCCGAGTCAAAGATGATGTTGGAAAGTTGTTCGGCGTTCCACCATTATAGTGCCCATACCTTTTAGTGAATACAACTTTCAACAATTCATTACTTTCTTACTTTTTGTCTTATTTCCTTCAAAATATTCTTCGGTTTGCTTCTCTGATTTGTCTGCTTTTCACTTAGAATAGTTGTTAGGGTAGGATTTTTCTTTAAAAGTTGATACTTCTTTCTGAATAACAGTCCTAACTGGCACTCATAGCAACTGATACGTGTTTCCTCGAAATAACAGAACGAAACATCATACATTGTACCATTTTCATAGGAAAACAATCGTTTCCGGTTATCTCTCTCTCTCTCTCTCTCTCTCCGCCCCCCCCCCTCTCTCTCTCTCTCTCTCCCTCTCTACACAGGGTATTTTATCCCCTTTGCTTTTAAGAAATCCATTAACAAAAATTAATCATGAACTCTCTGATTGGACAATGATGTGTCATTCCTTCACGAGGGGCGGAGCCTAATAATATTTTCCTCTGCAATGCAATAGCATGTCAATAAAATGACAAATACGCATCCTTATAATAATGCAATGTTTCTAAACTCTTTGAAATAATCACATTGAGGAACTGAAGTGAGCAGACTGCATGTGAACAAGGTGAAGCAGCATCATTCTTTTTTCCAAAAGGATTTGACAAAAGTAAATTTCCGCAGTGCCATCCAGTAAAAAGCTCAGGTAAACAAAATCTTTTTAATAACATCATATAATATATACAATTAACGACTAAATTATTCATATCCTTATCGAGTGTTTTAACATTTTCTTTTAGTATGTGAAAATTGATTTGTCCTGATTTATGTTTCTTGATAATTTACATATAAATGTATAAGGCCCTAATTTAACCTGTCCACCCTTCATTCTTAAGTTTTAAAGTCAAACCCACACAAATAGACATTATATTTACAATGGGTATGAGTATATTGTTTCTCTCTCTCTCTCTCTCTCTCTATATATATATATATGATACATAACACAAGTTGAAAATAAATAAATGATTCCGCCATGAAGCTGAATAAATGTCTTTGCGAAAATTCAAACATTCAGACGTTTCACGGAATGATTTATCTTCAACTGGTTAAACTTATTCATTTGTTGTTGTTGGAAGTATTCCGAAGCCCACAACTAATTTTTACTACAACATTGTATAGTATATTATATGTTTGTGTGTGGAGGTGTGTGTCTGTGTGCAATTCGAAAGGAGATTAGGGGATCGTCACATTTTCTTTCGCATTGTATTCATTTTCAGGAGAGTTGCCAAAACTGCGGTATATGTTGTTTTCGTATATTTATGTATATATCATATATGGCATGGAATTTATTTCATTCCTCATAAAAATCATATACAATACACACGTAGCATAACCAATTGAAATTTAATATAAATAAATACATGTAGAAGGGTAATATTACAGATAATAAGAATACAATGAAATTAACAAGGAAATAGGTTCAGAGAGCAAATTTATGTCGAATGAGGGGTCAACATAAAGAGTATAAAGAGTAATGTTTTGATAGAGTTATCCTCCCAGTATATTTAGGTACCATTTTCATACTGGGAGGATAACTCTATCAAGAGATATCATGAAACCCATGATTAAATATTCATACTTCAAACGATACAACTTTTAAAAAGTGGGACATTTTTCTGACTCGTAGAACGTAATAACAACAAAAACGGCAGCAACTGAAATTTTTCTCCCCGGCATGTAACGGTTTATATCACAATATATATGTATTTTAAATTTTAATCTTGTATATGCCTGCACATTTCAGATTATTGCTGCAAACCATGTTGTTTAATACATATGGAATTTTGAAAGTTGTAATCACTCTACATTCATTTTTTTAAATAACACAGTTTTTATAACATCATCCCCAAATCGGTTGAAAAAGAATGTCACAAGTAGCCATTATTATGGATGGATAACCTATTATACTAACCTTTTTGCAATTGAGCTTTTGAAATTATTTATTTAAGCTCGATCTGACAAATTATCATGCAATTTGTTCCACTTATTGTGGGAGGTATGTATTCATTATCGTTCACTATGACGGCTTACATTAGAACCATGGGGACAAGGTAAATACATAGATGTTTATTGATAATTAATTTCTGTCTGTGCGTGTATTTGCACGTGTCATGCGCATTGCTTTCGAGGTCGTATAAGTCGATTTTTGCACTCTCGCAAACAATGCCTCCTGTTCATCCAAGCGTGAACACATACCACACAAATATGATACCAAATGATTTGGGATAAAACACTCTTTCATAACATGTATAATAATTTACTGTTCAAAGAAGATTTTTTTTAATAATTAGCAATTTTCTAGGTGTAAACGTTTTTTGGACTAACATGGTATAGGCCTACAGTCTTCGAAATATATTAGACCAGATCCATGTTATGTACATCATTTTGTCGAATTGGTAAAGTCCAACCAATTTACTATAAAAAGCCGATATGTCTTACAAGAAACCACTGTCACCATCTTAATCATTATCCCCATCCTCATCAAAATCATCATCATCACCATCATCATCATCATCATCTAAAATTACCCGTCTCTTCATGTAGAGCTAGTTTGTGAAACATATCCTGCTCCGGATGTATCACTGTATGAACACGACACAGAATTAAAGTTAATCTTGGTCGAACCAAGTTTTACGAAGGTGTATGAACATAATATTCTTTCATAACGTATTGATTAAGATAGTTGTGACATGCGAAAGCGAGAACAGCTTTAGGTTAAATCATGGAGCTCCTAGGAGGTTTTCTCTCTTTCATAATCTATGTGGGCGAGGGAACTATTCGAGGTTTTATGAAATGATTGAACAATCAGGGGGCGTTTCACAAAACTTGTCATCAGTGACAAATGACAGTTTTTGTTATAAGCTACTAAAATCCTTGCTTCTGTTTGGCTATCAGCAGATTTGACACTGATTTTTGTTTTTTTTTGTCATTGAAAAAAGGCTTTGTAAAACGCCCCCATCCCCCCCCCCCCCCCCTAGAGCTCGCTGACGTAATGATCTATCTGAAACTACCTTTATATAATTATATATACATATATTTTGTATACGTTTTTATCATATGGTTACTTACGCATTGGTAGATATGTCAACAAAAACTGCGGTATATAAATGCGTCATTAGAATATTTTGTTTTGTGAATATATGTTTCGATTCTGGTAACTTGTTTATTATGGATGGATAACCTATTATACTAACCTTTTTGCAATTGAGCTTTTGAAATAATTTATTTATGCTCGATCTGACAAATTATCATGCAATTTGTTCCACTTATTGTGGGAGGTATCTTGCACTGTGACGGCTTACATTAGAACCATGGGGACAAGGTAAATACATAGATGTTTATTGATATTAATTTCTGTCTGTGCGTGTATGTGCACGTGTCATGCGCATTGCTTTCGAGGTCGTATGAAGCGAGCCAAGGTTATTTTATTGGAATAAAAAATATTAGTTTTCCGAATTCATGAGTGAAGTACGTTTTAATGAGTAGTGATCATAATGCATGTCCGGGTTCACACAAAAGCGGTCTATTTTTATAGGTATATCAAAATTTGCCCGTGTACGGTTTATATCTCCAAATGCATAGTATACATGCTAAAGCTGTGAAATTGTCTTCAAACAGTTCGGGGGGAAGGGAAAACCCCCAAATGAATTTTCTTTTCGTTTCTGTAGTTATGATGGACGTGACCGGCAACTTCTATATCCTGTTACAGTTTGCTCCGGACCGACATAGCCTTGGTCTAATTATGTTTTTGCCTATTCATTGCAACCAAAAGGTTGGAAATCAAATGCAAATAAAAGATAAAAAGCGATAAATAACAATGGTAGAAATAATTTAGGGGTGATATATACTGAATTTATATAGAGTAAACAAACTATGTGGCATATGAATAAATGAATTAATAACAACGTGGTTAGCTCGCTGCGAATGAATGAGTTCAGGTAGAGATGAAAATTTTGAGGTTTCTCAGTGCATTTAATAACCGGAACAAATGACCTCATATTCTAAATATGAATATTTTTATGCTATATTTCCATTATAATCATTTCAAAATATTCAGGTACATGTTTACATCAGGTCATAAGTACTATATATGTACATGATCAGTCTTTCCTAAATGGCTCTAGGCACTTTTTTCACAGGTCGACTTTATCAAACCTCCTTAATAATTCAAACATTGTGAGTCCAAAAAAAATTACACTTAGAAAATTGCTAATTATTTAAAAGATCATCTATGAACAGTAAATTATTATTTGAATTATTTGAATTGAAACTAGAGTTAGGGTTAGGGTTAGGGTAATATACCGGTTTTTGATATGTCCTGTTAATGTATACATTTAGGGTTACATATAATATTTGATATGATTTTTTTTATTTTATTTCTGCATTTTTCCAATTTATATAATAACAAAATAACAAAGAACATATAAACGTAAAGTATAATACAAAATATACATACAATGATAACTTTTCATGTACATTTTTATTATTTTTTTTTTTTACATATGTACATATAATAACGAAACTTAACATATTATTATGAATTTAAAGTATTATCCAAACTATCAGTTGAAAAAAGTGCAGGAGACCGCAATCATAAGCGAAGCTTGACTAGGATGGCGGCCTCAAAAAGAAAAAAAAATCTTAAGGTAAAACTTAAAATTAAAAAATGTTTAAACGTTCTTTGTGTATTATTTTTAAATTATTTTAAAATAATTCCATAAATTGGGGTAAAACAAAAATATTCCACCTATATGAGCGACAGTGTATGAAAAGGTCGGAGGCTATCTTATTGATTGTTTGTATCGTCACTATGGTCAATCAAGATGGAATGAAGCATTATCTTTAGGCACCAGCATTGGAGTTTGTACATTGCATGGATACCATTTTAGTTCAGTCGACAGGGTACACACATTCGGTATCATTTGACTATCATGCCATTGAACTGAAGGTAAAATAGAATAATAAGAGAGAAATTAAGAGGGAGAGAGAGAGAGGAAGAGAGAGGGAGAGAAGGGAAGCGAGAGAGAGAGAGAGAGAGAGAGGGGGGAAGAGAGAGAGAGAGAAGGGAAGAGAGAGAGAGAGAGAGAGAGAAGAGTCCTCTTCTATTACTGAGAGAGCTTTCTCGTGTGGAGAGTGACAGTAAATGACAAATAAGTACAAGAATGTTTTGAAGTTACTAACCACTTTTCTGTCATCTATGCGCTTTTTTTTTCTTTTTTTTTTTACAGAAATTAAGAATTCCGTTTTCGTACAAGAATTTTATGAAGTTATGAATCACTTTTATGTCCTGCACGCTATTTATTAATACAAACATTAATAAGTTCATTTTTGTATACGAAGTTAATAATTACTTTTCTGTCCTCTACGCCCTTTTTCTACAGAAACTAAGGATTTTATTTTCGTACAAGAATCACTTTTATGTCCTTTTCACTATTTATTTTAATGCATAAACTAAGGAGTTCATTTCCGTACAAGAATTGTATAAAGTTACTAATCACTTTTCTGTCCTCCGTGCCATTTTTTGTTTTATACAGATACTAAGGAGTTAATTTTCGTCAGAGAACATCACAGCGTTAGATCCAAGAGCTTGTCTACCATGAAGGCGTTTCTAACCGTCCTTGCGACCACTTTGCTGGTTGCCATAGTATCGGGTCAGAATACTACGCTACCTGCAATGGAATTCGTCAACCCAGGAGAGATCCTTCCTGGGCTCACAGTCCCATATCTGATCAACGCTGCTGGCGGCATCTGGCAGCAGGATCGTGTCATTGATTCCATGGCCTATGCTTGCAGAGAGGTCCTACCTTATATAGGTTCGGTAATACCAGAGGTAGACCAGAGAAGTCTGTATTGGGGTCCGGTCTGTGATGACGTCATCGAAGCTTCTGATGATCTAGATGCCTTTGACGCAACGGGGTGGTGTGATGATGACATAATCCCTATGATAATGATCACCAACTTGACGTCCCAGGGCAGTGATGGAAGATATCGCAGACAAGCAGGACCAACCACGGAATACCCTGAATCCATGGATAATCCCCTGGATATCATTGAAATCCTGACCAACATCACCAGAGACCTCTATGGAATCGACATCAACATGATCATCAATGACCCATCTACAATCAACACCATCTGCACCAACGTCAAGGAGAATTTCTTGAGGCCATCTCTTCAAGATTTGACCTCTCAGTTCGCGGCTGAGTTGCTGAGTGCGTTGCTTCCCCGGGCAGCTCCACTGTGCCAAGACTGGGATGGTTTCCTCCAGGACTTCGGGATAAACTCTGCCTCTCCAGAGTATCCTTTGATCCAGGATTTTGCTCGTATAGGATCTCAAGCTATGGGGTACGACAACAGGGAGGAAATCTGTCAAGCTATCACTCAAACACTCTCCGTCCAAGGTACGGGTTTCATTGAATGATAAATTTGGGTACTAGTCATGATATTATATTGCTTTAGAAGGAAGAGTTGATTTACTGACACGTTTTTTGGAATAATGAAAATGAAAGAAAAATGGCATAGAATTTCTACCCCCGCATCTCATGGGTACTCTTTACACCCAACCTGTGGCATTAGAATTTGGGGCCTAACTTTTTAACTCGTGTCATAATAGTGAATGTATATGAGAAGATAAACATCAGTCCATTTCAGGAGGGATTTCTACTTGATAAACTGCCAAACTGCTATCCAAATAACGATGAGGATTACAAAGTATTTTATATGGTCAATATCAGAAATCCAACCTTCGCTTTATTAGTTTGATCACAATTATGCAATATACAAGAGAAGCTAGTATAACGTGTGTTTGTGCTGTTAAGATTACTCCAAAAATTATTGATCTTATTTCCTGATGAGTTTTAAATGTCCTTTGCAACGATTAAAATCTTCTAAGGTCATATTTAACCACACCCAAATTATTGTTTACTTTGTTTGTATATTTATTTTTGTTTTATTTATTTCGTCACAATACAGGTGACAATGGTGAAGCGAGACTGTCATTCTCAACGGATTTAATTCTCAGCCTTTTAGAAATCCCGACAAACTCCGCCAGGTGTTCAATGCTGGCCAATGGAATAGTCTATGACGTCATCGAACCAGTCATCAACATCGGCGACGAAATAATGATTACCGATGAACAGCTTTACCAGTACACGGGATTCCAAAGACCGAACCCCCTTGATTCGCTCTGCATCTTCGTAGAGAATGCTTTCACAAGTGAGCTTACCATCATGATTATCTATTTATTCACTTATTTATCAGGAGAGTGCATTTATCGTATCATTCAAAGAAAAAGAAAGGGCTACACATGCAGAGTTAAAGGGTCACTCTAACCAAAATGTGCTAAAAAATGGAGAGAAAAAGACATGTAGAATAAATTTTGACGGAGATTCCGAATATGACAATGATTTTCCTTAGAAATCATCAATAATTCTGGAATCCATTAAAAAAAATGACGACTCAAAACGCGCAGAAAAACAACCCAGTTTCAGTAATGACGCATTTGACGTCACTACAGGCGTCTTTCCGGTGAAAATGTCTTTAAAAAGCTAACTATGATGTTAATTGAAAACAAGACATTTATCCGAAACATAATATGCACTTGATAATCCCAGTACGTTTCTGGCAAATTCGTCATTCCTAATTATGAAATTATGAAGTTATCAAATCGGACATGCCCGCAATGATGTCAAATGTGTCATCAAACCACGTGACCGTATTACCTTTTTTAGTGGGGCGTAGCCCAGCAAGCATGAAAACTGTGAAAATGGATGGCTGTCATCATTTTTTAGCCCTCTCTATGTCTGTCTTAAGGACCTCTAGTGGGTCTACGTAGCATGCGCAGTACAGGTTTGCGAATCCAGCTGCAAGGCCACCCAGCGAGAATTGCCTGGAGGAGCCAGAGCAGTGAGCATAAACAGTACACCGTGGAACTGCGATAACGATGAGCGTTTACGATGAGCGTTTCAAATCGCTCATTCTGCCTTCAAGATTGAGCTTAAACGCACCCTAAATCGTAGATCTGCCTCTTCCTAAATTAATAGACCGGTTTACTAACATATTCAAATCGAATGAATACTTTTTAAACAAATGTTGTTCTTGACAACTTGACAGCTTGCCCGAGGCTTGCCATACAAAGCAGCATCTAACGTATCCTGACTGGATTCCAAGTATTGTAGTTCATTCATAGATAAAAGGTTAATAAACAATTCGTCACTATTATATGTCCCCTAGGATAGAAACATCCATAAATTTGAATATGTTAGTAAACCGATATATTGAGTTAGATTTATTTTCATGTGATAATTAGGTGATACGTAACGAAGTCAACGTATCACCTTTTGATTTCGTCAAGATTTTTCTTTATTATTATTATTTATTTTTATTATTCTTCCTCGAATTTGTTCGCAGGATATCTCAAGACTGAATAAAGCCATTATCATGAAACTTTCAATGATGATAGATCTTAGTCTAACTTAGAACTGTGTGACTTTTCAGACAGTCAAGGTCATCGTGACGTCATCCAGGCGCCATTTTGTGAAAATCAACTTATGATCATATCTTCATAAAGGAAAGCCATTTTTCATTCATATTTATCATGATTAAACTCAATATCCGTCCGGTCAATTTCAAGTCAATAAATGCGCGCAAAAATGCGCGTACGCTTATGTCCGCGCGTTTACGCGCGCGAAAAAAATTAAAATGCTCCAAATCATCCCAATTTTTTTTTACATCCGTTTCAGGCCATATGGAGCATTTGATAAAAAAATTACGCACACGCGCATGCGCGCGCATTTTCGCGCGTACTGGCATTTTGCAATATAGAATCGCCGAATTTTTTCTGTCATTATATTTGATACATTTTTCCAAGCATTTTGATAACTTGTTCACCTTTTAATAACGCAATGAGCGTCCGTCAAAGTTGACAGCACGCGCAGATCTGCGTTATCTTTATCCACCATACATTGGCAAAAACATGCCTATACAAAATTCATTGTAACTGTTCAGAATGGATGGGAACTCCCAATATGTTTTCATATTTAGATAGATTATGAGTTGGAGATATGATTTCATGTCTCATTTGACCCTCAATTAACTCATGATGTCATCATAATGGCCTCCAAACTCAAAATTTCAATTTGCATATTATGACGTCAGCATATTTTTGGAAAATTGATTGTATCTCTGTAAATATGGATCAATTTTCTTTTTAATTTTGATATGTTCTAGCTGAGACAGTTTTCTACAAATGTAATATTCACAATTTTTATTTTTGACAAAAGTATCATGGTGTATTTTTGCGATTTAAGGAGGCATGTCAATTTTTCGCATTTTGCGTGTATTCTCTATGGGACATGACTTTTTCTCAAAACTGGATTCTACACTCCTGTCTTTCGCGAGCAAAATCTCCGTTGTTTTAGCTTTGTTTTCGCTGAGCTTCGGATATGTTGTAGCTGAGACAATGAGCTATCAAAAGTGTCTCCTTTATTTTTCGATTAGATGCCGGGATCATGCTCATATTTCACTTGCAAAGTAGGATTTCTGAATTCCATTTCCTGTTTACGTGTAATCGCTATGGGAGATGTTTTGGTATATCGGTAACGCACTTTACTTCCAACCTCGAGATCCCTGGTTCGAGTCCGGGTGTCTCCAACACTTTTTTTTTTTTACTTTTTTTTCATTTTGACCTTCAACTTACCATCTCCTTTGATTATTTAAAAACGTAGATTCGCAAATAATGTCATAAATAACCCTTTTTTACTTTATTATTACCCTATTTTCACTTAATCCATTACTTTTTGCGTGTAATCCCTATGGGAAATGACTTTTTCTCAAATCTGGAGTCTACATTCCTGTCTTTTGCGAGCAATATCGCCGTTATTTCGGCTTGGATTTTGTTGATTTTTGAGTATGTTGTAGCTGAGACTATATGCTATCTAAATCAACCCTCATTTTTTCAATAAGATGTCATGATCGCGCTCATGATCATGATCATGATCATCACGATCATCATTATCATAATGATGCTAATCATTTATCAATTACATTTTCATTTCTTTGAATAAGATAAAATCGTCAAAAGGTGTTCTTCATGATGTAAATTAGAGTCAAATGTGTAACTGGTTACTGCACAGGGTCAAAGGTCATATATTGTTTCAATCTATCTTCCCTAGATCCATGATGATCAAGGAGACACAATTTAATCTTGACATATGAATAGATCATAATGGGAGAAGCATATAAATGGGAGAAGCATTTTACAAAATAATATATCGTGTAATGCATTATTCGCTATGTAAACCACTATCATACGTATCACCTAATTCGTCTAAGTGACGAATTAAAGTCTAGTTAGGTGATACGTAACGAAGTCTACGTATCACCTATTGATTTCGTCAAGATTTTCTTTTTTATTTTTATTCTTCCTCGAATTTGTTCGCAGGATATCTCAAGACTGCATAAAGCTATTGTCATGAATCTTTCAATGATGATAGATCTTAGTCTAACTTAGAACTGCGTGACTTTTCAAAGACTCAAAGTCATCATGACGTCATCCAGGCGCCATTTTGTGAAAAACAACTTATGATCATATCTTCATAACGGAAAGAAGTTTTTCATTCATATTTACCATGATTAAGATCAATATCCGTCCGGTTAATTTCAGGTCAAAAAACGTGCGCAAATTTGCGCGTGCGCGTTCGTACGCGCGTTTACGCGCGCGCAAAAATTTAAAATGCTCCAAATCATCCCAATTTTTTTTTGCATACGTTTCAGGCCATATAGAACATTTGACAAAAAATCACGCTGACGCGCATGCGCGCGCGTTTTTTGCGCGTACTAGCATTTAGCAACATAGAATCGCCGAATTTTCTCTATTATCATATTTGGCACATTTTTCTAAGCGTTTTAATAACTTGTTCATCTTTTATTAACGCAATGAGCGTCCGTCAAAGTTGACAGCACGCGCGGATTTGCGTTATCTTTATCCACAATACATGGGCAAAAACATGCCTATATAAAATTCATTGTAACTCTTTAGAATAGATAGAAAATCCTATTTTTTTTTAAATATTTGGATAGATTATGAGTCGGAAAAATGATTTCATGTCTCATTTTATCATCAATTAACTCATAATGTCATCATAATGGCCTCCAAACTCAAAATTTAAATTTGCATATTTTGACGTCAGCATATTTTTGGAAAATTGATTGTATTTCTGTTAATATAGATTAATTTTCTTTCAAATTTTGATATGTTCTAGCTGAGACATTTTTCTACAAATGCTGTAACCACAATTTTTATTTTTGACAAAAGTATCATGGTGTATTTTTACGATTAAAGGAGGCATGCCAATTTTTCACATTTTGCGTGTATTCTCTATGGGACATGACTTTTTCTCAAAACTGGATTCTACACTCCTGTCTTTCGCGAGCAAAATCTCTGTTGTTTAACTTCGTTTTCGCTGAGCTTCGGATATGTTGTAGCTGAGACAATGAGCTATCACAAGTATGCCCTTTATTTTTCGATTAGATGCCGGGATCATGCTCTTATTTCACTTGCAAAGTAGGATTGAGAATTCCATTTCCCGTTTACGTGTAATCGCTATGGGAAATGTTTTGGTATATCGGTAACGCACATGACTTCCAACCTCGAGATCCCTGGTTCGAGCCCGGGTGTCTCCAACAATTTTTTTTCCACTTTTTTTTCCTTTTGACCTTCACTGTACCATCTCCTTTGATTATTTAAACACGTAGATTCGCAAATAATGTCATAAATAACCCTTTTTACTTTATTATTACCCTATTTTCACTTAATCCATTACTTTTTGCGTGTAATCCCTATTGGAGATGACTTTTTCTAAAATCTGGAGTCTACATTCCTGTCTTTTGCGAGCAATATCGCCGTTATTTCGGCTTGGATTTTGTTGATTTTTTAGTATGTTGTAGCTGAGACTATATGCTATCTAAATCAACCCTCATTTTTTCAATAAGATGTCATGATCGCGCTCATGATCATGATCATGATCATCATGATCATCATTATCATAATGATGATAATCATTTATCAATTACATTTTCATTTCTTTGAATAAGATAAAAATCGTCAAAAGGTGTTCTTCATGATGTAAATTAGAGTCAAATGTGTAACTGGTTACTGCACAGGGTCAAAGGTCATATATTGTTTCAATCTATCTTCCCTAGATCCATGATGATCA